CCTTGATAAAAAAATGGAATTATTCTAAGATAGAAGTTTAAAAATGCTAAGTGGGCAGTCATTAAACACATAGCCTGAATGAGGAAAAAGAAATTAAAATGAAATAATTGTAATTTTCATGAATTTTTAAAGTCAGCATGGTCTATGATTGTAGATGCAGCTTAAAGTTATGTACTCAAGTTTATGTTGCAGGTTGACTTTTTATATCTATGTATATTTAAGTCAATTGATTTACCCTCATTTGGAGTTTAGTTCCCAACCTTGCATGAAATCTTGAAGTTAATTTCATGTATTCTGGAATTCTAGATTTGAGGTGAAGGCAGTAAAAGTAAGGAGACCTGAGTTCCAGTCACAACGGCACCACTGAATAACTGTTACTCTAGCAAATCACTTGAACTGTTTGAGCTTCTATTTCCTGATTGGTAATATGGAGATCACAGGACTCACTCCAGGTCATGAGGCTCCAGTGTATGAAGGAGGCTTGCTTATGGTTGAGCCTGACACAGACATTCCCTTTAGCTTATTCTTACATTCTTTCTGGAAGCTGACCCATAAGCCCACATGATAGGGGTTGGGAGGAGTAGGCAACCCCTCGTGCTTCTCTTGTGTGCTAGAACCAGGGTCAATGCTTCATATGATTCCTTTGACCTTCCTAGCAGCCCCAAGAGCAGATGTCACTGCCCCTGCTTCAAGAAAACCGATACTGGGAGGGTTGGCCCCGGGTCCCCCAGCTGGTGAGGGAAAGGCCTGGAATTCAGACTTACACCTGTCTTCCTCCAAAAAGTAAGCTCCTTCATGTCATGCTGCTGCTGCCATTTCTAAAAATTAAAACAAATTATAATCAGAATAAAGATGGGGGCTTGTAATTTGGATTCTCAGACTCTTGTAACCCAGCAGAGTGTGTGTCTTGAGGGTCTCAGAAAGTTCTCTTGGGAGTTTTGATGAAATGTAACCAGTAAATACAGATGGCCTCTTTATTCAAGTAGAGGAATGTTGATAATTGATAAAAATTCTTATGTGATATGTAGACAGAATGGATCACTAAAGAGACTCAATAATAACCAGAAATCAAGATAGGTTTCTAGTTAGTAAGTTAAATGTTCTTTGAATTGAATAGTCAAGGGGGGAATTGCTCTTTAAGAAAGTACTTTACTATGGTTTTTAATGTGATAGTAATTCAGGACAGAATTGAAGTTACACATGTTAGTGGACTTTTTAAGAGAACAAAGGACAATAGTTAGTATTGAAACAGGAATTGGATTTGTGACCAAATGCCTCTTTAGCTACCTGCTTTCAGTCAAAGGTCACTGACCACCCACTGCCCAGCATTATTCCAGCATCCAGTCTACCTCTACATGTGAGAAGATCCTTATAAGCTTTTTGATATCTTGAGTTTAAAAATGTTGTTATTGTTTTTTTAAAATTGAAAGCAACCAGCTTGGAAGCCCTAAGGGTTTTACATAAGAAAATGTCAGGTGATACTGCTCCTAATTTCCCTTGCTAGTAGTTTAATAAATTCAGTTAAGATCCCAGAGCTACGTTTTTTAAAGCTAAAAAATGATTTTTGGCACCCACGAGCTCCCATGGCTGTCAGATTTGGGTTGATGTTTGTTTTCTCTTTGTCATGGTGTTTAAATGCCCTGGCGTGGGCCATGAGTGAAAATGCATTTGATGATCTCCTGGTCTAACCCCAGTCCCTAGTGAATGTTTACATAGATGACAACACCTAGTTTGGTGCTGTTAACGCTCCTGCAGCAGCATGGGACTAGCCTGGGGGTAAGGGAGTATGTGCTGCATGTGACAGTTGGGGGCATAAATGATGAGGTCAGGAATCTTCTATGAAGTAAACATTCTCTAGTTATCCAGTTCTAGAAGCATCTTTTTGTCCTGTCTCCCATAGTGCCTTCCTATAGGAAACAGACCATAAATATTCATTGAATCAAATAATCTCACAACTTGATCATTACCTTCTGGGACTCTAATGCTGGACTTGCTCTTAGGAGCCTAGATCTCTCAGCATTGACAAGGACACACTTATGAAAATAGGACAGTGTCATGCAGAATGAGGTTGTCAGGCTGCTGTCTGGGGCCAGTTTATGGTATCATACACAGCATCCCTTTGTAGGTTTGACTGTGAGCTTGATTAACATAGCAGACACTCTTCCAGATAGCATATTTAACAAAATACATTTGCTTTTCTATTTTGTTCACCATTGTCCTGAGCAGTGTATGTGGATGTGTTGGACGCAGTGGGGCCTTTCAGGAAACAGCAGGATGATTCTAGGCAGAGCATGACAGATCTTTAGAGGGACGCACCTGCTCTAACCCAAGCCCACAAGCAAACTGTGGACTGAAAAGAGGCTCCATGAATTGAGCGTTGACACTGAGCCATGGCTGTCCGAAGGCTCAGGTGGTTGTCAGCCATAAGTTTAGCTTAGCTCTTTGAGTAATTTGTCACGCCTCACTCAGCTCCTGCTGGGCCAGCACGTGCCAGCTTAGTGTCAGAGTGCCTGTTCACCAGACGGCCACTCAGGCCTAACATCCTGCTGTTCTTGCAGACCAGAGGCTTGCTGGGGCCATGCATGGAGGGCCGAGTTGTGGCAACAGCCAAGTATTGTGCAGAATAAGCATGTTCATAATGAAACATGAATGACATCAGTGGGTCCCTCTAGAATTGGGCCTGAATGAGTGCCTCTTGCTAAGGAAGTTTGGCAGCCTGTTCATTAGTTAAGACAAGTCACCAGGAGCTCAGCCTGCAGTTGAGAAGCCAGTTCAGGCTCATGCTGTCCAGGCCTTGGACTCTTATGACCATCTATATAAAAAATCATAAATCATCAAGGGGCCACTTTTGAAATCTTGAAATTCATTTTCCTTTTTTAAAGTTGCATAGAATAAGCCTAAGGAGAAATTCTGGAACAGTGCTGTCCAGCAGCTCTTTCTATGATCATGGGCATGTTCTGTCTGCAATACAGTATGATAACCCCTAGCTACATCTGGTTGCTGGGTGCCTGAAATACAGCTTGTGGGATAGAGGAACTGAATTTCTATTTCTTTTATTTTAGTTAATTTAAATTTAAATTTAGACAGCCATGTATGACTTGTAGCTGCACAGCCCTAGAATGCTTCTGGTCTCCTCATGGTATGAAAAATCTTCCTCTGAATATAATTGAAGGAGAAGAAAGAATAACCTGCACTGATGAATCGGTGTGCATACTTTGCCAAAAGAAAACAGAAAAATATTTTCCTATTTTAAAACACGTGCTCTATCAAAAGCTAAATAGAAGGGCATAATTGTTACAACTTATATTTTTAAAGAGGCCATTTTGAAAATATAGTGAGAAATGCTAGAATTACTTTTGTTCTTCTGGTGCTACAGGTAATAAACTGATGATCCACATTCTTCGTGTTTCTGGAAAATTAGCATGATTTTTGAAATAACTAAAACACATCTTTTAACTTGGTATTGATGATGCAGAAGGGGAAAATGAGACATCATGCCAACTTCCCCAAGTGTTAATTCATAAAGTCATACATGTGGCGGCCCCATCGCTGTTGAATTGTTCTGACACTTTCCTGTTACTGAAAGTGAATGATTCACCTTCTAAGGAAACAGAAGCCACACACAAAAGGGGAAGATTTGCTTTCTGCCCTGTGAAAGGCGGCCACACACAGGGGTCCTATTAAGACAGCTGGAAAGTTGCTTCAGTGTGTTACGCTTGTAAGTTTTATTGGTGACTGGTTTTTGATTGCACATTTGAATGTGTGTGTTCCAGACTACAGTTTTAATTAAAAGGTAGCAGTCTCTCTTTTTTTTTAATTATTACCGTGTACATTCTCTGTTAGGTTCTCTGACTTATTAGTTCCTGTGTTCTAATGTTCAATGTTCATAGCCTATCTTGGCTTTTGGCCCAGGTGCCCCTTCAGAGCACAGCTCCTGTCCTTTCCTCTTCCCAGTAACATGCATTTGCTTATTTTTAAAAGTGTATGCCACCATCTTATCACTGATTCTTGCTTATAGTATCAAATCATTTTGTCAGTAGGCTGAAAATAACATTTTATCAATGAACTAGGAAAAGAAGATCCACTGTTGTCCCACAGTTCTCAATGGAAAGAGATGCTGTCATAGTTATTTATAATAGCCAAGATTTGGAAGCAGCCCAAGTGTCCACCAGTAGATAAATAAATTAAAAGGCTGTGGTACATTTACATCACAGAATACTACTTGGCCATAAAAAAAGAAGGAAATCTTACCTTTTGTGACAGCATGGATGGACCTAGAGAGCATTATGCTAAATGAAATAAGCCAGCCAGAGAAAGTCGAGTACCATGTGATTTCACTTATACATTGAATCTAATGAACAAGATGAACTAAAAAGCAAAATAATGACAGACTCATGGATAGAGAGCAGGCTGACAGCTGTTGAAAGGGGTGGAGAAACTGAGTAAAAAAAAAAAGGGTGACAAAATAAAACTCACAGACACAGTGTGGTGATTGCTGGGGGGATGGAGGTGGAGGAGAGTATGGGAGGAATAAATGAAGATGGACAGAGACTTGGGGTAGTGAACACACAATACAGTGTATAGATGATGTGTTATAGAATTGTGCACATGAAGCTTGTATAATTTTGTTAACTAGTGTTCCCCAATAAGTTTAATAAAAAGGAAAAAAAGAGAGATGCTCTCATAATGAATGTCTCCATTTTTGTTTGACTCCATCTTAATGATATTTTGATGTGATTTTGTAACCGTGTGTACATATTTTTTGTTGATATTAGTGTTGGATGCAGTTAAAATCTAAGAAAAACTTAGGTCTCGAAATTAGAATGTTGTCATTAATTATGACTAATATTTAATTTTCAGACAGATGTTAACAAACTTGCAAGGTAATTTCCACCACACAATGTAAAAGTTGCATAGCTATATGTAAAATGAAGTAAACTACATTGTTGTTACGTGTGTCATTCTGCACATGCACTTGTTTCCTTAACTGATTACTGCAGCTATGAAGAGCGAGCTCTGTATCTCGAAGCAATAATTCAGAACCACCGTGAAGTAATGACATTTGAGGATTTTGCAGCCCAAGTCTTTTCTCCATCTCCAAGCTACTCCCTCAGTGGAATGGGTGAGTGTCTATATTATTCTTCCCTCACACGCTTAAGACACACTCAAGCAGCAGATGTACACCTGTTTTTCACAGATAAATGCTTGCAAATTTAAGGAGAGCATTCTCCCTCTGAATCAACTAATGAATATCAAAAGGAATGATGACATTCATTTTAATTTGTTTTGTATCCAAGCTGTTCACTCAGTTCTTTTCTTCAGCTATCCTGTTAACCTCCAAATCTAGCAAGGTTAATGAACTTTTTCTCAGTAATGTGCTCTGGTTCATTCAGTGGTGTGGGTTTCTTGCTGAGCTGGGAATATGTTGTGTAAAAGCGATGCCTGAATTGGTGCTTACTTATCAAAAAAAGAGTTCCTCACAGTTGAAGCCGTTGATACTAATGCTAAATGGGGATTATGTTGCCCAGATAGTCGGGTCAGGGATTAATGGAGGAGAAGTGGAAGGACAGTATCCTGGGTCCATCACTACAGCAGTGCAGCCTCCTAGCTTTCTCTCTGTAGTGGCCTGTGTCACATGGGCCAGAGCAGCACCTGGTGTGGAACCTGTTTAGAAACTGGCTTACAATCATTTTCATTGGTTAGGCAAATGGAAAATTTCAGAATTTTCCATGAATGTTCTTGTTTTTAGGTTTTACTCTTCTTATATTAACAATTTGGGGGGGGAAATGTGTACTGCCACTTAAATTGATTGTATGATTACTGTGGAGTTTTGTTTTCGAAGAAGAGAATTACTTTTAAATTTCTGCATGTAATTACCAGTTAATTGCCTTTCAGAAAGCAAATGGGATATTTGGTCAATGCATGTTGAAATTCTCAATGAAGGCCTTCCTTCTTCCACTAGTGTAAACACAACTGTTAGAGTGCTTAACAGATTTCTAACCTGTGTTGATTGTCTCTGAATACAACCTTCCTTTTCCTATTCTGACTTGTTAACAAATATCTTCCACACAAAGTGAAAAAAATTAAATTCAGTGAAATAAACCACTTACAAATAAAATCAGTCATGCATCATTGTTTAACATCACTGGCTTCAATCCTTGCCTCTCCCAGCTTTGTTGGGAGATAAGAGGGAGAGGCTTGCACTTACACAGGGAGCCAGGAGCATCAGGCAGAAGGCCTGGGAGATAAGCAAGCTGGCTGTGGTACCAGAGCCGCACAATTTACATAATCATGCCTCTGCTTCCTGGTGAGGCATCAAGAAACACAGAGATGGCCTCTATTGATCTTAGTTGAATTGGAATACTAAACTACATGAGAAAAGCTTATAACTTCAAGCTTTGATTAATGTTTCCTACATTAAAAAAGTAGAACAGCTGTGAATTGAATTCTTTCATACGATCTGCCAACATTCTATCTAAAACCAGCAAAAGAGAAGTCAGTTTCAAGGGAAATGAAGATTTTGTACCCAGTCTAGGCAGAGGTTTAAAACTGTTTATAATTTTTGGTGAAAGCACATGAAAGATCTATAGCAAAGCTAATTTTTTTAAAGATATCATTCTGCTTTTTCCACCCTCATATTTTGGGACTTGAAATTTGTCAGTGCTTTTTGTCTGTCTGTTTGTTTGTTTTTTAAAGATTTTATTCATTTCTTAGAGAGAGGGAAAGGATAGGAGAAAGAGAGGGAGAGAAATATTGATCCATTGCCTCTTGCACACCCCCAACTGGGGACCTGGCCTGCAATCCAGGCATGTGCCCTGATCAGGAATCAAACCGGTGACCTTTCAGTTTGAAGGTTTGTAGGCTGGCACTCAACCTGCTGAGCCATACTAGCCAACACTGTTTTTTAAAAATCTTGAGAAAGCTTTTTGTTTCTTAAAATGAAAGAAATTAAATAATAACTAGCCCTGGCTAGTGTGGCTCAGTAGATTGAGTGTCGGCCTGCTAACCAAATGGTCACCAGTTCGATTCCCAGTCAAGGCACATGCCTGGGTTGCAGGCCAGGTCCCCAGTAGGGGGAGTACAAGAGGCAACCACACATTAATGTTTTTCTCCTTCTCTTTCTCCCTCCCACTCTCCCTAAAATAATATAAATAAAATCTTTAAAAAACAAATGACATTCATCAACTCAACTGTTACATTCTTAAGGCTCTTGATTATTAAAACAAATGTTGATGAACTTTATTTTCTAGGTATATTTTAGCCTCTATATAAATTTGTTTGATTCTCTTCTAAAAGTTTATCATTATCTAAAATAAATTCAAATAAGTTAGTGTGTAGGTAACATCTTAAGTGAGACTCTAGGAGTAATTTGGATTTTTTAAGACCTGCAGTTTGGAGACAATTGCTAACAAGCTTCTAGAAGAACATTGCATTTGCCAAAGTCACTTAACAGATAAACATTCTGACTGCTCCTAAGAGTGGACATTGGAACTTGTACAAAAGGAACATGAAACCAAAGATAGGATATCAAGACAAATGCTGGTTCTTTCTCTTTTCAAGTTATTAACATCAGTGTCACATTTCATAATGTTTGGGGTTTAGAGTATTTGGTGTAGAGTGATAAAAATTTTTATATAGGTATATCACACCAATCCATGAATACAATTTAAGTTTGGGCATAATGTTCTCTTTTAACGCTTTGCATATCTGCCCACCACAATGATTAACAGAGAACTAGCTAACAACAAGCCAACTGGAAAAATTGAGCTCCAACAAGTGACTTAAGATCCCACTGTGCACTGAAGACCCAGTCAGACCATCCTGGCCAGCAGTGTCATCAAAGCCAGGCCTTCAGCTCCTGCTCACATGCATATGCACAATCTGAGCAAGTAGGGGCTCTCAGGTTTTCTTTGTATCCTTACTACAAGGACCTTTGTTGTTAACATAGAGGGAGAATAACCTGAATGCTTATTCATTCCACACTGGGTTTGTCACAGCCAGTAGCCCACATTTTTAAAGGGAAGGACTCTAATGCCAGCCTTTAAGTTCCTGCTATAAGTAAGAGATGTACTAAGTGAGAGGGGCCTGTGCCCAAAGAGGCCACTGTTGGAAAATGCCCTCTCCTCAGACTCTCCTGCCCCGGGGCTGTTGCTTGTCACCCAAGCCAGCCATTGATGGTCACAGTGGCCAAGTAAATATGCCTCTATTCATAGTTCACTGTCAACCACAGATGCGATGGGGGGGTTTTGTTGTTTGGCTAATAGGCGGGTGTTCAGCGTTTTTTAAAGAGGTTTTATGTAAAAAACCTATTTTGCCAGTCCAAAAATGTTGTTTTAAAATACCACCTACCTCATATCTATTCCGCCCATTACTTGTTTTGATAATACCCGCTCTATAATCAGTATTTGAGCTGCTTTTTAACCTAGCCCTGTAATTTGCATTCCTTTTGATTCCTTCCTTATTGACCAGCAATTTTCTAAGTGGTAGCCAGTGTTAAAATATTGGCTGCAATTAACACACACATTTGAGTGTTTGTGTATATATGCCCATATGTGTGTGTGTATGTTTTGTGCATGTATGTATGTGCATTTCACATACTTTGGGGGAGGGACTAAGTGCATACTTTGAAGAATGTTTCCAAGGAAGAGGGGCCAGCAGCAAGGCCTTTAAAGGGTTAACTGGAATGGGTACCCTCTACTACTGGAAGGGACTGATGTAATCACTGCAGCTCACAGCCAAGTGCATCTGTTCACCATGAGGTCATTCTGCATGCTAATGATTTGGAAAATCAAGTATAATGCTTGACATTATCAGAAAAGATAAATAGTGTAAATCTTTACTTTTTAGAAGATACTCATAAAACAAAAGGAGAAAAAAGAAACTTTAGCTTGGACTTGAGATTATTTTTTACAGAACTGCTTTACAGATTGTGTCTGGACCTTAATATCTTGGAGGAATCCACTTGTGCCTATTAATAAATGATCCCCAAATCACTGTTACAATTATAGCTAACAATTGGTAATTGAGGATTATAGATATGTCTAATTTAATATGTATTTTGAGAATTTCCAAGTGCTTTGGTCAGAAGTTGATCAAGATGGATTTATTTCTCAAAGAATGTCTAAAACCAAGAAAAATGAGGGGTATTCTTCTCCATATACGAGCATTGACTGTTTGCTAAAGATGCCAGTACTGTTTGTTGTCCCTTCTGCTTTAATTTTGCTCCCAGCAGAGGGAGCACAGACGTGTGTTTATTTGTTAGCCTCACATGAGACAACATGTGATTTCTCCAAGATATGGTCAGAAACACTTGCTCCTTCATGTTAGGCTATATTGTAAAGGCTCCAGGATTTAGAACAAGTGGCAGAAAATTCCTCATTAGGCCCTATCAGATTCTGCCACGTTTAATACATATCATATTTGGAGCTTAATGCAGATTAGTCTGAGTTTGTCTCAGGATGCTGCTGCCACTGCTGCTATTGCACAAAGTTTCAAATTTTCATCTCTCATGCTCAGGAATTGCACAGGTGCCCTCTTAGAAAGGTTTATTATGCTTATCTACCTAACAAAAAAGACTTGAAATTTTTTTCTACAAAAAAAAAATCATTATATTACGTTCACAGAAACTATGGGAAGACTCTGGGTCTGTCTCCTAGCAGCCTGTTTCCTGGAAGAAGAGGTCCAAGCCAGGGCCACAACATGGGGAAATGCTGGCCCAGTGCCCACTCCATAGGACAGTCCTATAAATCAGAGCCATGGCTGCTGGTTTATTAATATCAGCTGAAGACCAGAACTAAAGCTCAGAACTCCATTCAGATAATCCAGAAGTTACCGTTAAATTCAAGTTCTCTTGTGGCACTGTCTATTCAGGAACCCAGGGCCACCCAGCTCCACGCCCTCAGGTTGTAGCTGGACAGGTGTAGTTACACACTCTGCAACTGGGTGCCTGGTATGCATGTTCCTTCCATCCCAGTAATCTTTCCAGACTCAGCCCAAATCTTTCTTCCTACATAAGTGGCTCAATTCTTTCCCTCTTTGCACATGACATTTAAAAAAATTATTTTAATGTATTATACTTGAAAATGCAATGAAGCATCCATAGGAATTTTTTAACCACCTACT